GCATCACCATTGTATTTACTCTTGTATACTATTCCAACCTACTTCTTGATATCTCTGTAATTCCTGTATTGTAAACAAGTTAACAACTAGTGTATCTGGTTTTCATTCCCAGTAGTGTCATGCTGAGCCGGGCATGTACAAACTGTTGTATATAATAAAGATATTGACTGACTGACTGACTGCCTAGATGCCTTTTTCAAGTGGAGGAACAAGTGGTAGTCACTAGTCATAGATCAGGGCTATACGTAGGGTTGATCAAGTTTTTCCCAGCCATATGATGTGATAAGATTTTGAGTTTGTTGAGCCATGTGTGGATAGGCACTGTCATGAAGCAAAACAATCCCCTTATTGAGCTTGTTATGCCTTTTGTTTTGGATGATAAAATCGTAAAGCATCTGTTTTCTTGAACTTTTGCAACAATTTTCTGTACCAAGTATTCAGTAATGACAGAAAGTTGCCCACTATGCTCCTCGTTATGGACATTAGTACTGCTATCTTTAAATGCTCTAACCAATTTTCTTACCATTCCATTGCTCATAATGTTTTTTCCATATATCTCACTAATCTGCTGATGGATGTTAGCTGCTTTCATGACTTTTGCATTAAAAAACAAATCACCACATGTACTTCTCAATCAGTGGGATTTTCAAATGTCTGAGGCATTTTAAACACACATAAACAAATGTAAAATGAACAAATGCTTCCGTAATTGCGTCTGTAGTAAGATGTAAGTACTCGGCACACATTCGCATAACACCAACCGTAGAACTGCAGCAATCCTATTTTAAAATGGTACTTACTTAAATTAAAACATGCCTCATATATATCACTTCACTAATCAATAATGATAATAAAGTACTCCTTATGACGATTTTGTTTTTGTTTGTGGGAAATAATATTTGGCAATTTTTACTTATCAGTCTTTCCAATGGTATTGTTTTTTAAATTAAAACATTAAAACATAATTATTATTAGATTGAAAATGAAGTAGAAATTTAGGTAGAAACTACTATATAAAAAGAAGTAATGGTCTATATAGTTTAGAATATGATAGACTCATGGAGAATACATTAAAACTATTGTAACAATAGTTGAAAACAGAGATGGAAATAGTCATCTCATAGTGTCTATTAGGGTTTCTCAAATGGGATTCCAGGATCACGATTGTTTTTTTAACCTGGGAAATCCCACAAATTTCTTAAAAATTCACTTTTTTTCTTATTTTGTATTAACGTTGAGGAATTTTGCAAATAGAAAGCATAATTAACTCATTCACTGTCAGAGTACATTTGTATTTATTAATTTTAAACCTGCCTATTAGTTTTTTTTTTTAATTTTTGCTTGTTATGGCATGTCACAAATGGTCAATAATCTTATTTGTGGCAGGACTCTGAAAATTCTTTACTTGTCAGAACCTGTAATATATGGAATAATTGTGCTTACGCTGTCTTAATTTTTAACCATGCCCAGTAGCTTCGATAACTGTGTAATGCCATGTTGTGCAAATTGGGCAAGGATACAAATGAGTACAAAGTCTACAAGTATGAAGTTTTTCTTCATAAACCTGATTATTAAAGCCAAACGAATTGCCAAATTATCAAGCTATAAGCCTGATGCCGCTATTAAAGCAGCCGAGGTAGACAAATCAAGAATATTAGAGAGCAAAAGTAGTACTACAATCTCGAAAACGAACTTGAAATCTTCCAGGCTACAGGTGAAAAAACACAATATCTGTCTTCTCTTAAATGCATTAAACACAATTCTAATCACATCAATTGAATCGGAAAGGGCATTCTCGATAGCAAGAATTTTCTTTACTAAGAATTAGAGTGAGTGATCAGAGTATTGACCATCTTTGCTTTTTAAAATCTTATAAAAGTTTACAATATTTTGTATTATATTTTATTTAAAAAACGAAAATTACCTTCTAAGTTAGAAGTTTGATCTAAGTTCATTTTTTTTCATTTTTAACTCAATTCAAAGCATTTTGTTGTTGTTGTTGTATGCAGTTTCCAGCAAACTTTAATAAATTTTTTTCTATTTGTGAAAATTTCTACGTAATTCAAAGGTAATTTTTATTATATATCTCACACAGTATTATTAATATGATTTTGGAGGTTACAGAACTTTAAAATTATTTTTAAAAATGAAAAATAATTATATCATTTGATTTGAAGATATTTTGTATACCTTAAAAATAATTAATTCTATCCCAGGAAACAGTTCACTTTTATCCTGGAATCCCAGGACAAGCAAAAGACCGGGAAATGAGAAACCCTAGTAACTAAAATACTTGCCATATAATAGACACTAATTACAAACGTTAATAAAGACAAATATCAAAGTAAATTGTCATAAAATTGTCTTTTAAATATTATTTTATAAAGTAATTCAATAATAAAAAATCCATGAAATGTACAAAAATATCTGAAAGATTAAAAAAAAAATTTTTTATTCAAGTTTTTGGTGACTTCATTTATCAAATTTTATATAAATATTAAACAGATGACTTTAAAAAAATTATTGAAAACAAATTTCTCTAGTAGTTTATGAGAAGACTTGATATTTGTATGTGTGGTGCTTACAGAATTTTCAAAGAATGAAGTTAGTTAGAATGGAACAAAATCTATCTACTCATTAAGAGCCAAATTTGGCACGTTTTGCTCAAATTTGATTCATAACTTGATAATACAGCATTAACAAATGAAATAAATCAAGAGGAACACTTTAGTTTTTTATCTATATTTTATTAAAAATAAGTTAAAATTAAAAAAAAAAAGAGGCTAAAATGAATGGTGTTTTTATACATTCTTCTTACATTAGCTCAGAAATACACATAAAAACATTAACAATATTTTCATATTGACCATTGTATGTGGTGCGGCTAGAAAATAACAAGACTGTGATTGCCTGCATGTGGGCCTGAGTGAGTGAATGACCTTGAACAAGTTAGAACAAGCACAGTGAGTCTCAACTTGCTAATGCTATTAGATTGTTGAGTGCCTGCTGCAAGTGGACATATTGTTAGCGTGCATCAGAAAAATGGCCAGCTTGAAAAAGAAGCGGTGTATCAACCCTGAAATTTTTGGTGAAATTGAAAAAACTGCCACCGAATCTTTGCACCTGCTACATGAAGCATACAGAGACACGTGTTCGAATGGCACAGGAGATTTTCTGTGGGCCAAGAGGATGTGAAAGACAATGAACATTCTGGACGGCCCAGCACATCAAAAACTGAGAAAAAAATGCAAAAAGTGGAACAAATTGTGAACCAATACTACTAAGAAGTTCTGGAATCNTTGAGTTTAAATGAGCAGCGGACCTACTGAAAACCATTTATTATTTAACGGCTATAAAAATTATATTTATATTAATGATGTCTCCAAAGTTCAACATAGTTTTCGCAGAAAAATAATTTATCAGGAAGTACGCTAGTGCCATTCGATGCACTGTTCCACGACAAAAACAGGCTTAAGCGATGGCATCGTCGAACGGTGCACACTTGGTAAGTAATCCTACAATTTTTTGTTTATAGCATAGTTTATATGGATTATTCCCAAAAAATTATAATTGTTTTGGAAATGTTGAGTCGAATTAGTCTAGAATCGATTAATTTTATGGAAGAAAACCTTTCAAACAGCCGTAGTCCATAAACTGCATATGTGCTGGGCTGTGATTGGCTCATGTGTTTAAGGACTCGTAGAAAATGGATTTCATAAAAACCGGAACGTATCTACCATGTTATAGGGGGGTCAATATAAAACTATTGTGAAAGTCTACAAAACTTGGCATCATCATTATAATAATAATAATGAATCAAGTAAACAGCTAAAGTTGAAGTTACCAAAGTATTAAATTAGAATCACTTTTGACTTTGGTTTAGATCAGGCATGGCCAACATACAGCCCGTCTAATGAATTTATGTGGCCTGCGATTAATCTTTCAATATTAGCTGCTCAATGAAAAATTCTGACGCCTAAAATAAAAAAAAAAAAAGAAAGGTCAACAACTCACTGTATGTTTAGAGTTAACCCTCAATTACAAATCTCAAGTACAGCATAGAATGTTGATAAAGCATGATAATGTGAAAAATGTATCTGTAATCTCTATCTACAATTTAGTCTCTATGGGGTGACACCACAATGAGATCTCACATCTCAAAATCTTCCTAGGGCAGCCTCTGGTTCAGCCCATGAAAAAAGTTTTCTTTCCAATTCGGCCCAGGGCAAAAATTGTTGGCCACCCCTGGTTTAGATGATCTTCAGCCAAAAGACTATCATAAATGGGATAGAATTACTTTGAAATTTAAAAATATAATCATATTATCAAAGTTTTTCATTAAGTGTTAGTTAATGTAAAAATTTTGGTCTTTATCAAGTATCCAAGTTCTATAAAAGTTTCATAAATGTTTATTAACCATATGAANACATTTTAATGATTTTTAAGCTATTCTAGTGTTTCCTTTAGTTCTTTATGTGTAAATATTGTGTATGTATGTATGTATGTGTTTGTGACTTTCATGATGGTTTTATATACAGTAGATCCCCCTATAAAACGGGTTTATATAGTTTGGATTCCTATATAACAGTGAAAAAATTGCAATCATATTCGTATAAACACGCTAAAAGAGACTTGTATAATTCAGTAAAACGTCATCACCAACTCGTGTCGTGACAGGATAGATCAAATCTAGACCAATAGTGGATATTGCACAAACTGTTGAGTTTAAGTGAGCAGCGGACCTACTGAAAACCATTTATTATTTAACGGCTATAAAAATTATATTTATATTAATGATGTCTCCAAAGTTCAACATAGTTTTCGCAGAAAAATAATTTATCAGGAAGTACGCTAGTGCCATTCGATGCACTGTTCCACGACAAAAACAGGCTTAAGCGATGGCATCGTCGAACGGTGCAGACTTGGTAAGTAATCCTACNAATATAATTAAATTATAATATATTTTATTATGCAATTTCTTAATAATTTCTTTTATACAGCAAGTTAATCATTTATAATTCTCTTGGATATCTGAGAAAAGAAATAGTTATTGTTCATGTATCTACACCATTTGTAGAAGTTCTGGATTTTAAAGGAAGAAATGTGCCAAGTCAAGTTAGTCCTGTGTTTAAAGGAAAAATGTTTGTAGAAGAACAATTTGAGGTACTTTAATTAATAAAATCTTAATGATCGTTTAACTTTATGAATTGTCCAATAATTATTTTAACTACCGTATTTACTCGCATATAAGACGACCTCACATATAGGACTAGGTGTGACTTTAAAGATCAAAATAAAGAAAATTAGATTTATTAATACAATTCCAATTTTATTTTGTTTAATCACAAGTAAAATATCAAATGAACATAAATACACACATTGTCCTGCAAAAATTACTGGCATTTTAAACTTTAAGGAAAAATCTTGTAAAATTGACAACATAATTTGTTCATGTAAAGCTGGACAATCTGGAACCTTTTTTGTTTTTAATAATCTGTTTTCACGTGAGAATAGATTAAAACTTATTGATGAAACTCCCATGTGATTTTGAAATTTCAATCTGGAATTCAATTCAAAAGCTTTGCTTTTCCTATTGCTATCCATCTTTACTCCTGACAATATACAAGAATGATTCAAATGACCCAGATAAAATACTTATGTTTTTAAATACAAGGGAGTAAGTATCCAGTAAAAAATACGAATACATGGTTCACAAAAATTATTTGCAAAAATGCAAAGAATCTTTCGCTTGCACATATAGGATGACTTAGGAATTTGAAGCTGTGATAAATGAATAAAAACCTCATCTTATATGCGAGTAAATACGGTAAGTCACTTTAATTTCTGTTTGATAAATTAACAATTTTTCATTAAATAATCTGTATAACATACTTTATTACAAAATTCAAACTATGTTATAATTATGCTTATGATTAAATTGTACTTAATATTTTTCTGAGATAAAAATTTAGTAAATCCTTATTTTTCATCCTCAGTCAGAATAGTCTCCATTGAGAACACATTTTCAGTCATTCTTTTTATCATATGACATTATTACTAACAGTCTCATAATTTATTTGTCATTTAACAAAGAAATATTTGATTTTGTGTTAAACTATAATTTTTATATTGTACAAAAAATTTAATTAATAGTAAATTTAATTTCTAAAAATTTTCTTTCAGATATTAAAAATATTATTCATCACACAAAAAACCTTTGTAACTCCAGTGATAAGTGTTTACAAAACAGTGAACGTTTTCGATCCCATCTATAACCTGATGGAGTTGAAAACATTCACTGTTTTGTAAACATGTATTGCTGGAGTTACAAAGGTTTTTTTGTGCGATGAATTATATTTCCTCCAGTATTTGTTAAGAGGTTCATTTGTTATAAAAATATTATATAATTTTACCTGAATAGTTTTCAAATAATAAAATATTTTTATTACAGTTATGTTTTTTGGCTGAAATTCATGGTTTGAGTTTGCAACAATATACAATTCATCTAGTTAAAGGGCATAGGAATGCAAAAGCATCAATTACATTATTTAATTTTGATTCAGTTCCAGAATCTTTGTGAGTATTTTTTCATAAAATTATTTTTAAAAATGTTTTCTAAATTTCCATAGGAAACTTGATCATAGAAATTAATATTTCAGAGTTTTTCCAATTTCAATGGAAGATGCCGCTGAAAAATTTTCTATTCAATCTCATTTTGCAACAGCTTTCTTTTCAGGTGAAGATGGTATGCTACAGGTATAACAACAGATTTAAAACATTTTTTTATTTTATTTATTCTATGCAAATGTTAATATAAATATATTTTTTGATGGTAGCATTTAATACTAAAACAAGATAAAACAGAAATTGATATGAAAATTAAATTTCTTATGTATGGAACTAGGAAAAAAGGAAGAGATCGAAGTGGAGCTTATTTATTTTTACCTGATACTCATGCTCAGGTATTTATAAATTATTATTATTATTTCTATTTATTTTTATTTGTTTCAACATTACAAATAATTTATAGCTTATAATTAACTTTTTCTACAATATAAGCTAGAATTTTTTCATTTAATATAGAATTAAAAAGTTGTCACAAAAATAATTGACATATCTTAATTTATTGTATAAAATTACATATGACAAGTAGAAAATAAATGAAAATATTTTAAGCAGATGATATAGTTTTTAAGTATACATGCATATTTTTTAGAGTCAAAAATTACTGTAAAGCTTGGTTTATACAGATATTTGCTAGTTGGAAGCAGAAGTTTTTTCCATGGTGAATTTGGTTCTCAATAGTATTTCATGAGATGAGAACTGTGAAAAGTGTGGTCAATCAATTGCAAGTGAAGGTAAATGTCATTCTAATAAGATGGCTTCATTTGTTTATTAAAAATAAAGGAAAAAACAAAAATGGAGCATTGTTTATTTCAGTAAAAAAGTTTTCCTCCTCATAGACTGCATGTGCTATCTTCATTGCTGTCATCTTGGATTTTCTTTTTATGCCAACTTGGCTAGTGAAAAAGTTTAATACATTGTACTGCCAGCACAATTCACTAAACAGAAACATTCCTCAGAAACAATGTCACTAATGACACAAAATCTGCTTCACTTTTTGCATTTTGCTGGAAAATCCACTCACTGTGAATGAATCTTAACATCTTAATATTACAAGGCATGTTTTTTAAGTAAGTACCGTTTTGATATTAAAAAAACACAACTGCATTTTTTAAAAATAATTTTATTCTTACATGAAAGCCTGTACTTTAATTTACTTTTCAACATAATTTCCTCCAATATGAAGGCACTTTTCATATCGTACAACTAGCTTCTGAATTCCATCCTCATAGACATCTGCCTCCTGATTTTCCAACCACTGCAGCATGGGGTTTTGACATTATCTGACTGCCTAGATAACAACCACAGTAACCTAACTTACCAATCCATACCTAATATCAACGAGCACCACTGCCATACCTGGATTAATATCAATTCTCTTCTTACTCAGTTTATTACTGGCCACGGGAGATTTTCCAGTTATCTCCATCGCTTTACGAGTAAACGTACTCCCCTTTGTGCCATCTGTAGGGAGGTGGACGGTCCCAACCACTATCTTTACAGATGCGTGTGCCTTGAAAGGGAACGTCTCAAAATTGAACTAATTGCACAGAAATTAAACATCTCCTGGCCGTGTCAGCAACATGATCTCCTTAAACACAAGGATCTTTATACAGCTTTTCGTAACCTAGTGCTTGTTTATGAGCAAGTGGCACCCATCACCATGCATGAGTAGTTCCTCACCAGGCTTCGTTCTTTTCATTACCTCCGCCACTGCTACGGGCATCTGTAAATACTGTACATATGCCACCTAACTGCTACTGTTCTCAAAGTTATAATGTAATGGCTCGTATTACTTCTCTTATGTATTGTATTCTATACTCAAATTGTATTTTACACACTATTATAATGCATCATTACCTTATTTGCTGTATTGTACTCAATTTTATGTATTTTATGTGCTTTTTCCTTCTACACTTATACACTTATGTTTTATTTTGCATTAACACTTGTAATATTGCATAGTGTCTGTACTTGTATAGCTTTCAAAATCCATCACTTTGTAATTTTGTATGTACCTTATACTGTTAACAAATTGTAATTAACTACATCATCATTGTATTTAACTACAACATCATTGCTATACCTGCATCACCATTGTATTTACTCTTGTATACTATTCCAACCTACTTCTTGATATCTCTGTAATTCCTGTATTGTAAACAAGTTAACAACTAGTGTATCTGGTTTTCATTCCCAGTAGTGTCATGCTGAGCCGGGCATGTACAAACTGTTGTATATAATAAAGATATTGACTGACTGACTGACTGCCTAGATGCCTTTTTCAAGTGGAGGAACAAGTGGTAGTCACTAGTCATAGATCAGGGCTATACGTAGGGTTGATCAAGTTTTTCCCAGCCATATGATGTGATAAGATTTTGAGTTTGTTGAGCCATGTGTGGATAGGCACTGTCATGAAGCAAAACAATCCCCTTATTGAGCTTGTTATGCCTTTTGTTTTGGATGATAAAATCGTAAAGCATCTGTTTTCTTGAACTTTTGCAACAATTTTCTGTACCAAGTATTCAGTAATGACAGAAAGTTGCCCACTATGCTCCTCGTTATGGACATTAGTACTGCTATCTTTAAATGCTCTAACCAATTTTCTTACCATTCCATTGCTCATAATGTTTTTTCCATATATCTCACTAATCTGCTGATGGATGTTAGCTGCTTTCATGACTTTTGCATTAAAAAACAAATCACCACATGTACTTCTCAATCAGTGGGATTTTCAAATGTCTGAGGCATTTTAAACACACATAAACAAACGTAAAATGAACAAATGCTTCCGTAATTGCGTCTGTAGTAAGATGTAAGTACTCGGCACACATTCGCATAACACCAACCGTAGAACTGCAGCAATCCTATTTTAAAATGGTACTTACTTAAATTAAAACATGCCTCATATATATCACTTCACTAATCAATAATGATAATAAAGTACTCCTTATGACGATTTTGTTTTTGTTTGTGGGAAATAATATTTGGCAATTTTTACTTATCAGTCTTTCCAATGGTATTGTTTTTTAAATTAAAACATTAAAACATAATTATTATTAGATTGAAAATGAAGTAGAAATTTAGGTAGAAACTACTATATAAAAAGAAGTAATGGTCTATATAGTTTAGAATATGATAGACTCATGGAGAATACATTAAAACTATTGTAACAATAGTTGAAAACAGAGATGGAAATAGTCATCTCATAGTGTCTATTAGGGTTTCTCAAATGGGATTCCAGGATCACGATTGTTTTTTTAACCTGGGAAATCCCACAAATTTCTTAAAAATTCACTTTTTTTCTTATTTTGTATTAACGTTGAGGAATTTTGCAAATAGAAAGCATAATTAACTCATTCACTGTCAGAGTACATTTGTATTTATTAATTTTAAACCTGCCTATTAGTTTTTTTTTTTAATTTTTGCTTGTTATGGCATGTCACAAATGGTCAATAATCTTATTTGTGGCAGGACTCTGAAAATTCTTTACTTGTCAGAACCTGTAATATATGGAATAATTGTGCTTACGCTGTCTTAATTTTTAACCATGCCCAGTAGCTTCGATAACTGTGTAATGCCATGTTGTGCAAATTGGGCAAGGATACAAATGAGTACAAAGTCTACAAGTATGAAGTTTTTCTTCATAAACCTGATTATTAAAGCCAAACGAATTGCCAAATTATCAAGCTATAAGCCTGATGCCGCTATTAAAGCAGCCGAGGTAGACAAATCAAGAATATTAGAGAGCAAAAGTAGTACTACAATCTCGAAAACGAACTTGAAATCTTCCAGGCTACAGGTGAAAAAACACAATATCTGTCTTCTCTTAAATGCATTAAACACAATTCTAATCACATCAATTGAATCGGAAAGGGCATTCTCGATAGCAAGAATTTTCTTTACTAAGAATTAGAGTGAGTGATCAGAGTATTGACCATCTTTGCTTTTTAAAATCTTATAAAAGTTTACAATATTTTGTATTATATTTTATTTAAAAAACGAAAATTACCTTCTAAGTTAGAAGTTTGATCTAAGTTCATTTTTTTTCATTTTTAACTCAATTCAAAGCATTTTGTTGTTGTTGTTGTATGCAGTTTCCAGCAAACTTTAATAAATTTTTTTCTATTTGTGAAAATTTCTACGTAATTCAAAGGTAATTTTTATTATATATCTCACACAGTATTATTAATATGATTTTGGAGGTTACAGAACTTTAAAATTATTTTTAAAAATGAAAAATAATTATATCATTTGATTTGAAGATATTTTGTATACCTTAAAAATAATTAATTCTATCCCAGGAAACAGTTCACTTTTATCCTGGAATCCCAGGACAAGCAAAAGACCGGGAAATGAGAAACCCTAGTAACTAAAATACTTGCCATATAATAGACACTAATTACAAACGTTAATAAAGACAAATATCAAAGTAAATTGTCATAAAATTGTCTTTTAAATATTATTTTATAAAGTAATTCAATAATAAAAAATCCATGAAATGTACAAAAATATCTGAAAGATTAAAAAAAAAATTTTTTATTCAAGTTTTTGGTGACTTCATTTATCAAATTTTATATAAATATTAAACAGATGACTTTAAAAAAATTATTGAAAACAAATTTCTCTAGTAGTTTATGAGAAGACTTGATATTTGTATGTGTGGTGCTTACAGAATTTTCAAAGAATGAAGTTAGTTAGAATGGAACAAAATCTATCTACTCATTAAGAGCCAAATTTGGCACGTTTTGCTCAAATTTGATTCTTAACTTGATAATACAGCATTAACAAATGAAATAAATCAAGAGGAACACTTTAGTTTTTTATCTATATTTTATTAAAAATAAGTTAAAATTAAAAAAAAAAAGAGGCTAAAATGAATGGTGTTTTTATACATTCTTCTTACATTAGCTCTGAAATACACATAAAAACATTAACAATATTTTCATATTGATCATTGTATGTGGTGTGGCTAGAAAATAACAAGACTGTGATCGCTTGCATGTGGGCCTGAGTGAGTGAACGACCGAGAACAAGTTAGAACAAGCACAGTGAGTCTCAACTTGCTAATGGTTTTAGATTGTTGAGTGCCTGCTGCAAGTGGACATATTGTTAGTGTGTATCAGAAAAATGGCCAGCTTGAAAAAGAAGCAGTGTATCAACCCTGAAATTTTTGGTGAAATTGAAAAAACTGCCACCGAATCTTTGCACCTGCTACATGAAGCATACAGAGACGTGTTCGAATGGCACAGGAGATTTTCTGTGGGCCAAGAGGATGTGAAAGACGATGAACATTCTGGACGGCCCAGCACATCAAAAACTGAGAAAAAAATGCAAAAAGTGGAACAAATTGTGAACCAATACTACTAAGAAGTTCTGGAATCTTTGTGAGAAAGGGTCTGAAGAAAATGGCAACAGTTTCATCTCCATGAGGACAACGCATAAGCCCATTCTGCAGTTTTTGGCCAAAGGAGTCACACTACTTGAACACCTATTGTACTTGCCAGACCTAGCTTCATGTGATTTTTACCTTCTCCCTAAAGTCAAGTCTGCTCTGAAGGAACTCTGAAGTCTGTCCCTTCAGCGCAGACTTAATACGGTTTCCTGAATCGAAACATGAAATTTTATATTTTATTTACTGAATCATAAAAAGTATACATATGTTTTTGTCCTTTCATATTTGTAAAAGATTCCATTGAATTTTAAATTTTTATTTCATTAAACATTTCTGATAATTCTAATTTTTTATGGTCCTTTTGAATTAAAACTAGAGTTTATTGTATCTATATATAAATAAATTTTTACAATTTTATAAAATTTATGAATGCAATATTTTATATTTGTTAATAAAATTATAATTGTTTTGTTCTGTTAGATATTAAAATATAGTCAACCTTGCATAAGGGTTTTAGAAGGACCTCTGTATTCTGAAGTAACTGTTTTCATTCCAAATGTTGAACATCATGTCAAATTAAAAAGTTCACCAGGTATACAATTATCCAACATGTTCATAGTTAATTTTAAAGCAATTTTTAGTAGCATTATTTTTTGTCATTAACACAATAGTAAATTAGAGTTTGTTTTAAAATAAAATTTTAAAATGTTTTCTATTGATATAATTGTAATTATAGTAATTTATTTTATATATTTTTACATATTGTTAACAGGAGCAGATGGAAATGGAATTGATATATACAATATTGTTGATATATCACAAGAAACTAACAAAGAAATAATTATGAGGATCCATACAAATATTGTTAATAATAATAGTGAGTTTTATACTGATCTGAATGGATTTCAGGTAATATATTTCTATATAATGAAATTAAAAAATTAATAATAATAATAGTAATAATAAACAAACAAGTCTTAAATTCTATTATTATTATTAGATGATGAAACGACAAACCTTTGAAAAACTGCCACTCCAGGCAAATGTGTATCCAATGTCAACAGTTGCTTACTTCCAAGATAACACTACTCGTTTCTCTCTTTTGACAGCTCAACCATTGGGTGTTGCTTGTTTAAAACCAGGTTTGATAATAAATTTTTTTTTCTTAAATTTATAACCATTAAATAATTTAAATAATGATTTAAAAATTAATTAGGTTGGATTGAAGTGTTTTTAGATCGCCGACTAAATCAAGATGATAACAGGGGACTGCAGCAGGGTGTTACAGACAACAAACGTACTCCAAGTAGTTTCAGAATATTAATAGAAAAGAAAATTGGTTCATATTCTTTTCATAATAAAGTATGAAAATATTTCTTTCTTTAAAAATAAAATAATTTTACTTTTAATCTAAACTTTATAATTATCTATTTTCTAGAAATCGGAGAAGGTTTTAAGTTATCCATCTCTGTTTGCTCACCATGCTTTATTATCATTATTACATCCAATGTTTATTATGCTAATGAGACCTAGCCAGGGTCTAACAGGACAAAATAAAGACAATATGAAGTTGAAATTTAGACCTCTAGGAACTTCTTTGCCATGTGATGTTCATCTCCTTAATTTAAGAGTGTTAGCTAGCCCCACATCAAATTCTGTTATCATTCCATCTAATTCTACTGGCATGTTTTTGCATCGTCTGGGATTTGAATGTGGATATAAAACATATGGACTAAACTGTACTGTAGAAAATGGAAAAGTAAGATTTATAAAATATTTTAGATATTTTGAATTTTAAATGTCTTGATCAAGCAAAATATTTTATATATTTTTAGATTTCCCTCGATCAGTTTTTTCCATATGACTTTGGACCGTTGGTCGAGGAAACATCCCTCTCATTCATAAATCAGAAGGCTGTTTTTAGCAAGAGTTCAGCACTCTATTTACCTCCAATGGAAATAATGGCATATAAGTTATATCATAGATGATATTGCTTATAACAAATTGGTGCATTTATACATGGTAATTTTCCTGTAACAGGAATTGAAAAACTATAATTATATAGTATAAGGATACTATAATATTTATTTATTTAATGTATATAATTCAAACAGTATTCACTTTTTAATTTATGAACATTTGTAAATAATTGTAAATATATTCTGTTTAATACATGCAATATAATATGGTAAAAACCATGTTTTGAGATATTTAAATAGGTTTTATTCATTTTTATGTTAAAGGATTCTTTTTAAATTTTAAGATAATTTCTAAAATATTCAACAATTAAAGCATAATAAAAATATATATAAATCAACCTGTTGCTTTTTAATCATACACAACAAAATATAACAATTTGATGAAATTCCAATTACCAAAACACCATTTTGCTTTTTCCTTCACACTTGAGACACAACTCATGATAAAACACAATGAAGTTAAAATGAAAAAAAAAAGATAATGCTGGCACCATGTGATTAGTGAAAAGTTGTATAGGAATGTGTTTCTTATTTACTGAATGTATAAAATATTCTCTACAGTATGTATTGTAATAAAATGCACTTAGATTTGCAGTTTGTACGGAATGTCTATCATGTGTGTTCTAGTGTATTTGTATTGACCATCGAGTTCAGTTTAAATCTGGTATTATCTAAAATAGTAATATGAGGGGTGTTCAAACTTCCCAGAAAGTGTAAATACAAAGAGAAAAAAATAGGTTATGCTTAGAAAAAAAGTTTATGCTTGCATCAATTAATTATAAATATAGAATTGTTTATGAATAATAACCACTTTTAGGGAACTTTTTTTTGAATGCCCCACTTATTTTATGAAAGTCTCTCAGCTGCTTATAGCATATTGAAATGGACTCTGTCACTGTCTAATACTGGGGAGTCCATTCACTGCCTAATGACTGGGAGTTTCCACTCTCGACTAACAAGTGGAAACTGTGCCAAGAGAATCCTTCAAAACTGTTGGCATTGATCATCTGAGATGCTTTTCCCTGCATTGTGATGCAGCAACAAATGGATTATCACCACCATCAACTACTTGAGCTATGTAGTAACCCAAGTTATATCTAACTGTATAGTCATTGACATTATCGACTTCCTGTACATGGTGTACCAAGAAAATTAATTGCTGACCAAGGCTGTCCTTTCCTCTCTCTGATATGGGCATCAGCCTTAGTGAACAATTCAAACACGCTTGACCTGTATATTGATGTTAATCATCGCAATGTAATCAAGTAATTCTTTTCATCACATTTGCATACAGCAACTTGAAGCAAGAGATAACTGGATATTTACCATTCTTCCTTCTCTAAAGCCAATATGCTGTAACCTCTGCAGACACCATCACCTATTCTAGGGACAATTAGTTACTATGCTTCATTGAGCTACATCTGTCTAGAAATGCATACATGCAGTTTGAAACCCAAAATGCTGTTGAGAGTGACTCCAGTGGAGGTAATTAGTGTTGCCAATCTGAGTCATTATTTGCTTAGAATGATGCACAAGTGCAAGATAGTTATTCTCATTGGAAATACTACATTATAAGGTACTTACCTAATTTGAGATACTTACCTAATCTTATTATAAGGTTAGGTAAGTATTTCAAATTTTGAGCAGTTAGGCCAGGATTCCACTAGCGTAAAAACTTTTAATCACGTGACTTATTTGCGTTTGCATCTGGATTTCAGTGGAGGTCCAGCTAATGAAGTTTTTATGGTGACAGTGCTGCCCCAAGTGTCGAATGTAAATACTTTGCACATGAATTGGTGGAAATGAAAGCATCATAGCTTGATTGTTCATAATTGTCTGAGTTCATAAAATGTTTTAGTTCTTATAGTTGGGATGTGTCTTGTCATATAAACAAGGATATTTTCGATAAATTTTTCTAAATCTATTCGAGGTCTTTTTGAAGTAGCCATGATAGAACATACACAAAAGCTTGTTTCCCGCAATTTTCGCACAATGTCATGATGACATAGTTCCACTGACTTATGATTGGTTGAAGGTACCATTTTACGGCCTTATTCGCATCAAAAGTTGAACACTGCTCAACTTGCTTTTACGCTGGTTTTACAACCTGCTCAGACGTAAAATATCCTGGTCATGTGATTAAGTTTTTATGCTAGTGGAGTCGCGGCCTCAGTTCATAATTCACTTCAAGAAGGTTCCATTATCAACCTGAGATATATGGAAACAATATCATGTCCTGTTGAGGTGTAGGAGAACAAAGATATGGCACATCAGATTGTGGCTTTGTTGTTGACATTTCAATGGGAGATTCATCTTTCCCATACAGCCCAGATATAGCCTCTGCTACCTTCAAATGTCAGAGAAAGTGATCACACACAAAGTTGCCATTTTGCCACTGATGAAGTATAAGTTTTCATTGCTGGGTGGCTGCAGCAATAAAGACAGGAATTTTTGAGGCTAGGATAAGCTAAAAGCTTGTTAATGTGAAAAATGCCTAAATAAATTTGCCATTTCTCAGCAAAATCACAATCACTTCCATATGAAAATATATAGGGTTTATTTCTGCAATAAAAATGTGGTTTTCGCTTTGTAAAATTAATTTTTGATCACTTCATATACAAGAATTAATATTGCAAATTTTTCACTGGCATTCTCTGTTTTAATCTTTATTAATAAAAGTTTATACAAATAATTTTACTACATAACCTAATTTATAATTCATGCGGTTCTGGAGGACCCATACTGGATAAAAGTTGTTCTTGTTCTTTCAACAGCGGAATACCAGGTTCTGTGTACCATTCAGGTGTAATTTCGGTCATCAGTTTTGGGTTGGCACTCCAGTGTCGGATGCGACACCGAACTGGAAATCTTCTCATCCCATTAATCTGCAATTAAGTAATTTTAAATCATATCATATATTAAATACTTTTGGTACTTGAAAATATAAAAACTAATCATTAAAATTAATTTACATTTTAAAAAAATATGATAATTTATTTATGATGATGATAAATCCAACTTTATAACTTTAGTAGAGATTAGATTCGAGTATGCTAAACAAACCTGTTGTCATATCTTATTTGCAAAATATGATGGGGTTACTCTTTTGGCATACAATTTATAATGGGATTCATATCTTAAAATTTATCCTATTCATTCAAATAATACACTATGTCAACAAAAGTATTGGGACACTCAATCTGTTGCTACAGGCAAAATGATATTTGTAAATGGATCCAGGGAACTTCAAGCAGTACGTATAAAGAGTATCAGACAGATATTTCCTGGCATAGCTACCATCAAGCTATGGCAAAGATATATGGCATAAGAGTTGAGAGACTTTCAATGGGGATGGTGTTGGGATACCATTTGAGCAAACAATCAGTATGGAGTATTGCAGAACTTTCAGGCCTGCCAAAATGTGGCATGTTTCTGCAGGGAAAGACTAGGCCTTTGATTACAGTCCACCTTCAGGTCTGTAGGTACAGGGACATTAATTGCCATGTGATGGTATTTTGGCACAATTCTATGCCTGTACTAGCATAACCAAACACCACACTATACAACGTGCAGTGTTTCAATGTAATCAGGAGCAGAACATTCTCAAACTTGATTGGCTAATCCAAAGTCCATCTCTTAATCCTGTTGATCCTCTCTATAGATATGGTGTTACAATTTGATCCACATGGTCCACCATAACACTATATACAGATCTCCTCAAGGAATGGAGAACATCCCTCCACCTGTCTGTTGGAATTTGGTCAAAAGAATGTATAGGAAAGTTGCTGTAGTGATTCGTGTCAAAAATGGTCCAACACCATATTTAAAAACATTGCTAAAAGCTACTTTTGTCATCACCTGTGTGTATTCTAATTCTTATGTCAACATACTGTATTTTATTTCATTCAAGATCTTATCCAATACTTAAATCATGTTCTTTACAAGTCATTTTTGGCAATAATACAAAACATTTTAGACATTCCAAATAAGAATTCCTAATTCTATACCAATTGCTACCAAGTTGAGATAACCTAAATTATATATATAAAATTGATTGTAGACTGATAAATTTCCACTGTTGTTCATATGTCCTTTAATCTCAAGAATGGAATTAATTAAATAGATGAAAGCCAAGATGAGATATGGGAAGCTTAGGGGCAGGAAGCCCTGATTAACTGTATATGTATGTCTCTGATGCAAACTGGAAGTCATGTTATTCCAATTCAAATTTTTCCCCAAAAGGAGTTAGTTAGATGACTGGCATGACACTATTGCTAACAGGAAAAGTATGATGTACAGGGCAAGACACTACTAATTGAGGTAGAGAGCATATAATTTAAATAATATACTCAAAAAATATTAAAAATTGCAGCCCAGCATTGTGACAATGTCACAATAAATAATTATTACTCATTATAATTAACTAGTCATACAAAATGAAACACAGACATACTGAATAATAATTTTTTGTTATTTTGCATTTTTTCTATGGTAAACTGAAATAAAAGGAAAACAGATTGATATTTATATTAAAACACGAAAAAATAATAAACAAACTTATTTCAAATATTCACTTACTGTCCCTCTTGAGCCTGCATCAACTGTGAAACTCATTAACTTTGATGTTTTAATAAAAAATTTCTCCTCAGTTGATTACACTGGGGAACAAAATGAAAGCTTTTTTTTTTTTGTCACACAAATGAAAATACCTGATCCTAATAGAATTTTTTATGTTGTTTTCAAATATATAAACAATTTTTCTCCATCACGTCTGGTTTTTTTTTTGTGATAGCCAGTTTAAAAGTAAAATTTATTTATTTATCTTGTCTAAAATGGCAAGATGTGGAGCTGCTTTTCAGTGTCCAACAGTAATCAGCAAGTATTCTTGAATTCCACTTCTGATACCTCTATTCCATGATAGAGATGTCGTAATGGAAATGCTCCCTGTGTTCATCACTGACAGCACCAAGATTGTCGGGCAAGAAATCAGGTGGGAATCCAAGAAATGCATTCTGAGGGACATATTACATCCCATATTTTTGTAAGATTGTAAGAGCTCATTCACAATTTTGCAGTTATTTGGAGCTTTGTAATCATCCAAGAAATTTTGTGTAACATCTTTGAATGATTTCCATGCTGACTTTTCAACTGTGCTTAACAAGCCTTCAAATTTATCATCTTTAATTAAAGTTCTTATTTGTGGGCCCATGAAAACTCCAGTTTTGATTTAGCATCACTATATGAGCAAATTTTTCCTTCAAATAATAAAATCCAGCATTGTTTACACTCATTGCCTTGACAAAGTTTTTGAAAAGTCCTAACTTTATATGAAGTGGAGGTAGAAGAATCATGTCAGCATTGAATAATGGGGCATGAACAATATTTTTCTGGTCAGGAATAAACATTTCATGCTTTGGCCATTCCTTCTTGATGTAATAATTTTTCTTGTCTCTGCTGTTCCACAAAAAACAACAAAATTTAGTATAGCCAAGCTGCAAACCAGTTAATAATGCAATGACTTTTAAATCACAACATATGATCCAACTGTACTTGTGATAATGAATTTTTTCAAGTAAGAGTTTCATATTTTCATTTTAGTCCAATAAGCTAATCACACAGAAGGAAATTTGTTTCCATTGTGTAATCTGTCTTAAGACAGCCTTAAGACTAATCTTAGACGAATCAATGATAAGTCTTCATTCCGTGATATTATATTTATGATCACATGCATCCATTACAGCACTAATATTGCAATAAATTAAATCACTTTCTTCAGAATAGTCTTGAAAATCTTGACAATTATGAAAGAAACACACCTTAGTTGTCTGATGAAGTAAATTCTGACCTTTCAGTCAAGAAGCTAAAAGTTCAGCCTGTTTTTAGATGCGTTCAGATCCCTAACAAGATCATTTAGCTCACCTTGAGTTAATAAATGAGGTTCACAAGTAGAGGTACTAGCTATGGTCGCTAAGTGGTTAATGCTAAAAAGTTATAATTATTTTTGTACTTTTTACTCATCTATTTAGATAAATGAAATGAATGCAAATAAGTAAAACATTTTCAACTACCATCATTGTCAATGTGGATATCAAATTCAAAAAATAAATTAAAATGTCTTTTTTATAACTTTTAAAATATCAGTTTATAAATTTTTCCTAAATTTGAAACTTCTATATATTTTGTTAGAAATGGGATACAAATAAGAAATAAAGCTAAATTTACCGTAACATATACAGCAAATTCTTTATTTTCCTTTTCTGAATCAGGCCCTGTAATGGCTGTCTTTGGTAGCTCGATTGTATGTTCAGGAACAACAAATCCCTAAATAAAAATTTTATTAAAAATTATAAGAAAATAATATTTATAAAATTATTCAAAAAATGGAAATTATTGAAAATTATAGTAATTTTTTTTTTCATTTTTTGATTATTTTTACCTTGTGGACACTAAAAGGGCTTTTTAAATCATATCCATTATGGATTTGGCAAGCCCCACCTACAATGGTGTGACTGAGTATTGAGAAATGGGGAATATCCAGGAAAAACTTCCCCAAAAAATTTCTGGGATTTTTTGACTGTACAGATTCAATTCGAAGTTCCAACAATGACAGATAGGCAGACATCTTAACTATCTCAGTCATCTGGTTATCAGTTATATTATTAAGCATAAGTAAAATTTGCATAGATTTCAAACNAAATCAAGAGGAACACTTTAGTTTTTTATCTATATTTTATTAAAAATAAGTTAAAATTAAAAAAAAAAAGAGGCTAAAATGAATGGTGTTTTTATACATTCTTCTTACATTAGCTCTGAAATACACATAAAAACATTAACAATATTTTCATATTGATCATTGTATGTGGTGTGGCTAGAAAATAACAAGACTGTGATCGCTTGCATGTGGGCCTGAGTGAGTGAACGACCGAGAACAAGTTAGAACAAGCACAGTGAGTCTCAACTTGCTAATGGTTTTAGATTGTTGAGTGCCTGCTGCAAGTGGACATATTGTTAGTGTGTATCAGAAAAATGGCCAGCTTGAAAAAGAAGCAGTGTATCAACCCTGAAATTTTTGGTGAAATTGAAAAAACTGCCACCGAATCTTTGCACCTGCTACATGAAGCATACAGAGACGTGTTCGAATGGCACAGGAGATTTTCTGTGGGCCAAGAGGATGTGAAAGACGATGAACATTCTGGACGGCCCAGCACATCAAAAACTGAGAAAAAAATGCAAAAAGTGGAACAAATTGTGAACCAATACTACTAAGAAGTTCTGGAATCTTTGTGAGAAAGGGTCTGAAGAAAATGGCAACAGTTTCATCTCCATGAGGACAACGCATAAGCCCATTCTGCAGTTTTTGGCCAAAGGAGTCACACTACTTGAACACCTATTGTACTTGCCAGACCTAGCTTCATGTGATTTTTACCTTCTCCCTAAAGTCAAGTCTGCTCTGAAGGAACTCTGAAGTCTGTCCCTTCAGCGCAGACTTAATACGGTTTCCTGAATCGAAACATGAAATTTTATATTTTATTTACTGAATCATAAAAAGTATACATATGTTTTTGTCCTTTCATATTTGTAAAAGATTCCATTGAATTTTAAATTTTTATTTCATTAAACATTTCTGATAATTCTAATTTTTTATGGTCCTTTTGAATTAAAACTAGAGTTTATTGTATCTATATAAAACAGGCTTAA